CGTGCCCCAGTCACACCCCCCCCCCCACTGGGAGCAGCTGGCTAGACCTCCATTAAGGGGGCAGTGCAGATTCCCTGGTGCCCGGGTATGGACAGCTGACCCGGATCAACTGAAATTCTCTGGTAGCTGTGTCATTTTTTATTTAGCTGCTCTCTGCACCACTCCAAAGCAAATGACGAACAGATCCGAAGGTTTAAGGATCTGTGAAGTATTGCTTTTATATAATCAAAATTATACGTTTACAGTCATTCATTTGCTAAAGAAGACGGACTCGGGTATTGTGTTTGTGACAAGGTGGCTTAAACCTATGCTAGTCTTTAACCTGGGTATGTTTGCTTTTGTTTCATCTGTTTTTTATTCATCCCATTTTTTTCCACCTAAATGAATAGTTTGATTTCCTCATTCACAAACATGACAAATATGAATTTTGATCATTATAGAAACAATAACAACAATAATAATAATAATAATCAATCCATTTTCCTGTCCCACTCTTTCTATGTAGGGTTGCGGGTAATACTTTACTATTTATTAGGGCAAGAAAGAAAAAATTCTAACTAAAATAATAATGAAAAATAAATGTCATACAGCATCTATTCATTAAATGAGACTCTTTCCCACAAACTATATATATGTATATATAGCCATATATATTTCTCAACAAAACAAAACAAAAAAATGCATTTTTACAGAGCCATAAGATTAGTCATTATTGGGAAATACAGTGACACCATCAATGTTACAGAAGGCCTAGGTTTAGCTAGGCCTTCAGGGAGAGCATAATTAATCAGCCCCTTTTACCTAACAAAAAGGGGAATGTTTCTAGGCAAAGGATTGTAAACAGCGCTGACTTGCCTCCTCACACATCCCTCAGTGGAGAAGCTGGGAGCCCATCCGTGACCATATGAGGCCTGGTGCATCGCTAGGAGAAACACTGAGCTCATAGGTCACACACATGCTGATGTCTTCTGAGACATTTGTCTTTTTATTCACAGTTCTGACATGCACCAGTAACACACTTACAGATTACTCACTTCCCCTTAACAGGACACAGAGAAAACTCCATGAATCCATGATTGATAACTTTGAAATATAAGATTTTTTTTTCTACGCTTTCATTATGCCTGTTGTATCGTCACTGTTGCATTATGAAATGTGCAAAAGTTTTCACTTCTGTGTATCATTGTAACATAGTATTTTAAACAGCATGTCATTGGTTGGGGCAGAACGCCTGCAGTGTGTGACATTTAAGTTTATCATCTCTTTAACATGTTCCTGAAACATTGTTTCCCACAGTATGACATTTCTTCCATGCAACGCCATCATACAATTCTGAGAAAGTGACAATCAACATAGCTCTTTTATTTGGATTATGTCTCTGTCAGTAGTAGTAAAACAACTTGGTATCATTATAGTCTTTTTCCCAAATTTTCAGTCCATATATGGGATGAACATTATTCCCATGCATGGTTCCCATAAGGCATGATGGGGCTGTCAGGTGCCCCTTTCTTCTTGTTTTATAGGCTGCAGGCTTTATTAAGTAATATACAAATTTGGAAGTGAATGCTATTCGCTCTATCACCCACAGCCCTTTTAGAGTGGAGAGGATATTAGATGCCACTGTAGAAAGATGAGAGAGAGATTAAGCCAGCTATCTAACCCACATAGTGGACAGCAAGCCGTTTTGCATTCTCTGGATGTTCTCACAGCTAGCTGCAGAGTAGCACAGTTGTGGGCAAACCAAGGCTCCCATTAGGGTGTAGTTTGTTTCAGTTGGTGCACACCTAGCACGGCCTTACAATTTATATCTATGGGAGCTGATTCCATAAAACTGTATAGGAGCTGACTACTGACTCAAGCAAAGTCGGGGTTGGTGCTTTGGATGGCCCAAGGGCCGCCCCTGGCTGTGTAGATGCAGAGCAGAGGCTTCATGTCGCATCTGATTTGTCCTCTTTCTGTAGGTTTGTGCCCAGACTGGGTGGAGTGGGACCCCAAGCAGCCTGTGGAGAATGCCAGAGAAGCTATGCAGCAGGCTGACGACTGGCTGGGCGTGCCGCAGGTACGCCCCCCCCTGCCTGCAGGCAGTGCTGCTGTACCAGTACGGCACTTCTAGGGCTAACTTTAAAATGACAATAAGACCCCTCATGTATAGAACTTTAATAGGTATTATAGGATGATTTCCTGTTTAACCACTTTGTAGTACCAGCAGCCTTATAGTCAAATCAAATCACTTTTATTGTCACACAACTAGAATGAGTGAATTAGTGAGTGCAAGTCCTAGGTCTAGAGATCCCCATTCACAGTGCGATATACTAAATAAATACAAACTGTACAACAGTATCTGCTATACAAATGCACAAAAAACAGTACAATACACAATTCAATACACTGTGTAGAATATAATAAACCACAGAACAAGCAGACAGACTGTAGGTGCAATAACAGCACAGTTTAGTGCACTGAAAAGCGTTCTATTAGTGCAATGGGGAGTGGAGGCAGTGTCCTGTGAGGTGGTGGCTGGTATTAACTGGAGTTCAGCATCCAGGTTACCTGCTGGAAGAAACCATAATGGAGCCTGCTGGTCCAGCACCTGATGCTGGGGTAACGTCTGCTGGATCCACCTTGAGGTGGCTGGGCTCTTTGAATCCTTGTAGCCTCTGAATTGTTTAGTGGGGGATGGTTATTCAGTTCTCCCTGGAGAGCTATGGCGATCCCCACAGAAGATCATGGACAGTATTCTGTTTACTAAAAGGACTGACGGGATAATAATTGCCCCTATAGGTGATCGCACCTGAAGAGATTGTGGATCCTGACGTGGACGAGCACTCAGTGATGACATACCTGTCTCAGTTCCCCAAAGCTAAGCTCAAACCAGGTGCACCACTGCGCCCCAGGCAGGTGGATCCTATGAAGGTTAAGGCCTACGGCCCTGGTAAGGATTTACTGTTGTTCAGTACCTACCTGTAAGAGCAATTTCTGTATATAAGATTCTTTTTCTGACACATTTCAATAACTATAACCCATACATGACTATGGGATGTAAATTTCAGCACTGATAAACCCCAGAAAAGAAGAATAAGGGACATCAAGTTTAATGAAATGTACCTGTGTAGCATTATAATCCTTGATGTATCTGCATGCAGGAATAATAAAAATACTATTTAAAATAAAAAACTCAAATCGCAAATTGCATCCCTAATGCATAAAAATGTCATGTTTTGCTGACAGGTATTGAGCCACAGGGGAATGTTGTCCTGAAGCCAGCTGAATTCACAGTGGACACCATAGAGGCTGGGCAGGGTGAAGTACTGGTCTATGTAGAGGACCCCGAAGGACACACAGAGGAGGTTATTTTCCTACGACACAAAATGTTCCAAGAAGTGGTTATTTAAAAGATTATGGTTTCTTGAGTGTTAAAAGGTATGTTTGTCAAATATTTAATAACAATTTCATTGTATGTTCAGGCCAAAGTTGTTCCCAACAAGAACAAAAACAGGACCTACTCTGTCACCTATGTACCAAAAGTAGAAGGACTTCATAAGGTAAAGTCCTGTGCTTTTACCAGCTTGACTTGCGACTTGTGGTCCTGATGTGCTAGAGCTTGAGCAACCAGGAACATGTATCTCTTTTACCTAGGTGAAGGTACTCTTTGCTGGCCAAGACATTAACAAAAGTCCCTTCATGGTCCATGTGTCTAAAGCAATGGGAGACTCCACAAAGGTTCAGGCACGTGGGCCAGGCCTGGAACCAGTAGGCAATGTAGCCCAAAAACCCACTTATTTTGACATTTACACAGCTGGTAAGTATGGTAGAGAGGTTTTGATCAAAAGGAATCCAAATTTTTATATTTTGTCTTAAAAATCACTAAATGTCGGAAAGATAACATGTCTGGGAAATTGTAATATTATCTCCTTACCTACCAGAAAGTCATGCAGAGCAATGATGGTAAAACTGGTTCTTCAGGCTATTGCTAAAGCAGCTATGTCTCTTTTTTGTTTTGTGCACTAGATCTACTTTATTTATTATTATCTATTAGTGTACCTTCCTGGAACCATTTTACTTATATGTGTTGTGTTTTTAAATGCAGGCGCTGGAGAAGGTGATGTGGGAGTGGTCATTGTGGACCCTACAGGCCGGAGGGATACGGTGCCTGTTACTTTGGAGAACAAGGGGGATAATGTTTTCCGCTGCACATACCAGCCTCTGCAGGAGGGACCACACTCCGTCCAGGTCACCTTTGCAGGCCAGCCGATCCCCAAAAGCCCCTTTCCTGTCAACGTCTCACAAGGTGAAGCTACTTATGTTTTTCATTCTCTTTTCAAATGAACCAAAGAATGCGGTGTATACTATAGGATGTTCTTCTTGCACATTCTGTCATACTCCTTTACCCAAACAGTCATACTTCTAACAAAACATGATCAAACTCTCCTTCACACACACTCATTGATGGGCCTTGGACCCCCCCCCCCCCCA